GCAGTTGGTCCCCTCTGCCTCTGAATTTTTTCAGAGCTTTCATCATCTCCTCTGAGTTTTCAGTGTATCCCCATCGCAACAAAAACGATGTTTTCTCGAGATGATTACTAGGAACTGGGGATATTACTTGCTTGATGGTTTTACATTTGGACTTTGAAGCCAATCTCAACACCTTGTGTGGATCTTCCGTTATAAGTTGGAGCAGACCGACTCTTTTGACCTTCAGCTCTTTACATAAAGTCTTAGGTCTTTTTAAACTAGACGAACTCAGAAATTCAATGTCATCGGCTACAATGTCTGCTATTTCTTCTGCCCCCATTCCAATCTCAAACAGAAAATCCATTGCCAGCAAAAGATTTTTCATGCACTTAACAGACAAGACCTGAGGGTTTCGCATAAACAACGAATAAACCTCATCCATCCCGAGACCCAATTTGAGTAACCGGCCAAACAATACATACACGTTCTTCCCAGAACCTTGTAACAGTAATGCAGGATTTCTTTTAAACAAAGCACACATTTGCTCCTCTGTATAACCCACACTATCGAGAAAATCCATTGTATCAAGCATTCTGTTCCAGTTGTACGTACTGTTATGTGATGCATACCTTCCAATCCAATCCATTCCGAGGCCTATATCCTTCATTTTTTCGTGAACCTTGACAAAGTCGCTATGAACACCCCCAACCAAAAGCAAGGGGCAACAACTAACAAGCTTAATAACTGTTGGTATGCTTAACCCCAAATTTTCATAAGCTTGAAGCTTTGAAGCCAACACTTGATAGTCATATCCAAATATCTCTCTTGCCTCCCTGTACATTTACCAATGTTACCACGGGGGATTCCGTAATTGCATAAAGCATGAACATTATCAACCATAACACGATCATCACTCAGAAACATCAAGCGCCGGTAGCAGCGATTGCAGCTCAGACGGGCTCAAACCCAAGCTCTCAAAGAAGGGTTCAAACTCATTAACGGGATTGTAGCGTAGAAACCGTGTTAAAGAACGGGCAACATCTTTCTCGGAGTCTATCTTGGAGAGCAAATTCTGAAGAAAAATTGGGGAGTTCTTGCTAATGTGCTCGGCATCCATGAAGCTGAAGCTTCGAGTAGAATGCAGGTAGTCGAAAAGGGCTTCCTGAGCCACGGTTCTAGCATTTCGAGAAACCCGATTCAAAACTGGAGAATCAGATTGCGTGGACTCCATGACTGAGACCCTTGCCAAATGGGCAATCCTAGAACTCCAAAAGTATCGATTTTTAACCCAAACGAGCGACGGGTTTTGCACAGAAGCGGTTGTTTCATGAACCAGAGGAGAGAAGGGTACATGGTGTTTGAGTTGGGCAATCATTTTCGAAACCCTTTTGTGGATTCTATTCATTAACATAGAAAGTGGCGAAGGAGGCATACAACAGAGAGAGAGAGAGAGAGAGAGAATTTTGTGGGTGAATCACATTTTTGCAATAATAGTTGAAAACTGGAAGTTGCAGAGTGTGAAGATTGAAAGAGATAGAGACAGTTGAGAAGAGAGGTTACCTTGGATTGGATGAATCCTCTCGGGATTTAAGTCCCTATTGTTCCTTTCATTATATCCTGTCTGGGTTTTCCAGAGAAGCGAAGATGGACTATGTGCGCCTCTGTTTCTGCTATTATCATAAACCCTAGAATTTGGGGGTTTTAGCCGCCTCCTTTTTTTTTTTTTTTTTTTTTTCAAATATTCTTATTTATTTATTTATTTTGTAATTCTCGGGGTCAAAGACTATAATTAATACTCAATTTACACTTGTTCAACACCACGGGTGGCTTAAGGGTTAGAGATTAATTCAAGGCCTGTATTATTGATTAGGGGTAGTTTGGAATAACTCTATAATTCTTCACAACCCTCGAAATGATGGACGGTTGCAAAGTCATCAGTCGGTTCATTTTTAGAGCAATTCCACCCCAAAAAAATGAGCTGACTCAAAGTCTATTTAATCCACCCAATTGAATGGTAATTGACTCCAATGAACAATAATTGACCAAGTATATCTCCATACCTAAAAATTGAGTTCAGCAATAGTCTAGTTAATTTGTATTAAAATATTATTAATTTTTTTACAAAATAATTAAAAATAATTTTATTTTTAATTTCGGATATAATTTTTAATTAATCTTATCACACCCGTGTCGTTTTCCGAAAGTACAATTTTTGTGAAAGATGGTTAGGTATTTATATATCTATAATCTTTTTTTTTTCTATATTTTTAAACAACTTTTTATACTTTTTTATTAAGTTAATTAATCTTTGGTTTTGTATTTTTAAACAACTTTTTTTTATAATTTTTTTATTAAGATAATTAATCTAAACCGTTAGATTTCAAAATAATGAAATCCAACAGCCCAAAAGTAAATACGTGGCCCACGATAAGATTCTGACATTTTTTTTTAAATGTTGGAACGCACGCTCACGTGCGCGCAACAAAAAAAAGAAATTCACATGGCTGACGTCATGTCTCTTACTCAATCCATTATGTGCTGGGCTTAAAGTTAGCCTCCATTTTGGGCTAGCCTATTGGGTGGGGTGAAGTGGGTTTTTTTTTTGGGGTAGGGGCCAGCTTATTGAGTGGGGTGAAGTGGGGTTTATTTTTTTGGAGGGGGGCGTTAGCCTATTGGGTGGGGTGAAGTGGGTTTTTTTTTTGGGGCAGGGGGGCCATTCTATTGGATGGGGTGAAGTGGGTTTTTTTTTGGGAGGGGGGGGGGGGCCTATTGTGTGGGGTGAAGTGGGTTTTTTTTTTCGAGAAGGGGGGGGTGGCGGGGGGTTGGTCTAAAAATTAGACTTTGGGCTAACATATTTGTTAGGGGTGGAAGTGCTCTTAAAGAGAAAAAATTTACACTTGTTCATCTTGTTAATAAAAAAGAATGCTCATCTCATGTTCAAAAGTTGGTTCCGTCACTCTAAATAAGTATACTTAATTATCCTCTATCTCCATAATTAGCCAAGTGTTTTATGTTCTATTTGACATGATCAGATCTAAAGTTGAGTTTCTTTAACCATCTGATGATCAATTTCGGTTCTCCTCAGGAGAATTAATTATCATCAACATCATCACTCCCAATTGATGGAAGCTGATCAACAAGCTTCATTTTATCAAGTGCATATTAATCGCATGGACTATACAAATGCATCGATCAACATCGACGCGCTTGTTGGGTGAGTATGGCAACGAGAGTAGGCTAGTTTGGGATTCGACTCCGATGTAACCCTAAACAATACATGAAGAAAATAAATCTGCACCCTTTTTGTTGTAGTGACGCTGCAACAACCCTTATGAGCCAACCTTACACGCCAAAAACACCAAACCCAAATCCCACCACGGCAATTACTCATCCTCTTTTCTTTCAGTTATGAATCCAAATTTACAAAGAAAAAGGAGCTCACAGGGCAACAATGTTGTTGAAAAAGTGGAAACTTGAACCAAAAGACAAGTTTTACTCGAAACTGCTATCTGCTGCTGCCCCATGCATGATGCAGCAGCATGCCCTCAACCGGCTAAGTACCCAACCATGGATTATCTCCTATATAACATAGTATAAGCTTGATTAAGGTCCACTCATAGTAATGATTACCATCTGATTCGGTCCTATCCAATGGCAGCCCAAAATTCGAACATTTGGGGGTTCAAGTGTTAAAAATATAAGTTTTTTTAATATAAACATAGCTCGAAGTGCTCAAAAAAAAAAGTCAGTTTATTTCCTAAGACATTTCATCGAACATATAGTGACTTGTTGTTGTCAACCAAATCATGTTGCACGCATGTCAATAGATATCGACATACGCCGAAGCAATCTGATGAGTGTTATTGATATAATTTGTCAAGTGCTCTCGACACGCAACATGTCGAGGTTTCGACAAGATATGCGGCATATGCTTAATAGGCATTACATCGAACACTTGTGAGCACAAAAGAGAGTCATACCTAACTTTCAAAGAGTTATCGGAAAACTTTTACATGTATATTTCCCTAACTCTGAATGGTCAATGGGACCACCTTGACCCCAATGTACATCCATCGCAGGGCATTATACAATTAAAGGATCACTTAAAAAAAAAAAAAAAAAAACTCTTTTCTCCAATTATACAATCACATGTGGTATTCTATTTCGTATTCCGAACATAATAAAAAATCTCTCCTATTGCAAGAATTAGTCATGATTTATTTATTTATTTGTCAAATCAGGAAGTAGTCATGATAGGTAATATAGCAAAGCAATATGATAAATGATGTAACAACCATAATCATTGGGGTAGGATGGTGTTGGTGATGGAATATCACCAATGACATAAGATAATAAGTTAACATTGTTAATATACAACCTAAGATTAAAATAAACAAAAAATATGGGTAACATAACTTAGAAAATAATCAAGTAAATATCTTCATTTGATATGCCACCACAAAAGTCCACCACATACAAACAAAAATAATGTTTTTGTCTTTTGTAAATATCTTGCACTTCTCCAAACAAACTTTAAATTCCAAAATATTAGACTAATTTTTTTTATAATTTACTGGTATTTTTTTTTTATATTATTTGAAACAGTTGTGAGTTCGATCCTCTTTTATGTTAATAAACAACTCCAAACATTAGCATAAATGCTAATGAAAACAAACTCTAGAATCCAAATAGGCCAAACACATTATGAGCTCATTTAAAAGTGCTTTTAAAAGGTCAAAAATGCTTTTGGTAAAATTAATTTTGAGTTAAAAGCATTTTAAGAAGCATATTGTTTTTTCATAATTAACTTAAATTTTTACTAAAGATTGTTTTCAAAAATATTTTTACTAAATTGACCTTCAATCATTTTAAAAGTACGTTCAAATCGGTCATATTTTCATTTCTCACTTCCCTATCCCATTTGGATAACAAGAAAAATTGCAAATCCACCCAAAAATTCACTTATCATTTTCGAAGTTCCTTCCCTTATTATTTAACTAATAACTCCTCTTCTTTACTTTATTATTACATGTTCGGTTGGATATTCCAAGCATTCACATTTTTCATTGATTTCAACTCTTCTGTTCCCTTTTCCTCCTTCCGTTTTACATGTTCGGTTGGATATTCCAAGCGTTCGCATTTCTCCATTGCGGTCACAAATTCTTCAAACCCATTTGTTTTCTCGATTACCCATCTGCATCCGCGCCTCAAGTTTTCGACTTTCCTTGTGATTTGTGGATTTTGGCATTGATTAGCTTCTGGGTTCCTGTGTTTCCCCAAATGCCCATCTGATTTGGAGGGGTTTTTGGCTGTTAACTTTTGTGACTTCATGCTCATGGTGAGGCCTCCTCCCTCTGATTTCTGAGCTTCTCAGCTTTTAATCCTCTGTTTTAGCTTTCTGGGTTTTGTTTGACATTTCATCTGCTTTTGGTTATATTATGGTTTCTGATCTCATGTGGAGGTGGGCTTTGATTTTGAATACCCCATTTGATTTCTCATGTGATTGTGGTTGCCTCTGGATCTGAGTTTGTTTTTCCCTTTTGATTTCATTTTCTGGTATCTTCTGGTACTGCTTGATTTTGTCATTTTTTTTTTCTAATGGTGTTTGTAGATCTCCTGCATTAGCTTGTATTGATATTGTTCTGTAATCGTATCGAAGTATTGATGGAGTACCTGCATTTTACATTGACTTCTATTCAATGCCCACCTGGTTTCTGCGGTTGAGTCATTTGTTCCTTTTCGAATGAAGAAACTGTTAGTGGCCAGTCATGAGATCAAATCTTGGGTCTTGGTGCTTGACCAATGTATGACTACACTATCTAATCCTGTCAGCGAGTTTTTTTAGTGTAGATTCATGCATTTGTATTTGAAAACTCCTAAACTGGAGTTTGGGAGTTGCTTAGTCTCTTTTTTATCCTTCTAGGTGTTACTTGGATCTCATCTGTCTCTAATTCTGTTTTGTGATTCTGGTTTTAGCCTTTGCGTTTGTTGTTTTTATACGAAGGTTTTTGTTGCCCAAATCTATTTAAGTTGGTTTCAACAAATAAAGATGTATTTGTGCGGCTATTTCTTGTCGTTGGGCTGTGTAGGTTGTTTGTGGATTATGTTTGTAGGTATAAGCACATAAGCTATCACATTACTTACTGTTTACCCATCTGCTAATATAAGCTACTCTGGTTAAATGTCATCCTCAGATGCTCACGGCCGTAGCCAAAGGAAAATGATACTGATAAAGACGTGCATATTTTGTGATTATAAATTACTATCCTGGTAGCTTCCTTGCTCTTTGAGTATGCTAATGGAAAGATTAAACAGGAAAATGAAGTGGGGAAGCTAGTACGAGAAAGTAAAGAAGGGAAATAAGAACTAGTAATCTAGCACATTGCAATGGAAATGTCTACAAAGACAGTTATGGCGATCAAATCTTACCAAAATCAGGCCGGAGTTCTTGTTAAAAACTACTTGCTAGCAGATCCCTTCATACCATACACTTCCATTATTGGAGGCATAATTTTGTGCAAAATGGTATGCTCTTAGATGTGCTATAGGGTGCCTCATTCAAGCTGTAGATTTGGTTTTCTATTTTCTTATTAACTCGTTAAATATTGCAGGTATATGATCTTACCCAATTAATTAGTACCTTTTACATTAAGGCTTATGGTGGTCTTACAAAAATCCAACGAATTGAGTGGAACAGTCGGTGAGGACACCCACTTTCCAACTGTAAAATACTTCCCTTCTGGAACACTACTTGTAAATTTTTTAATTTGAAAAGTTAACTTTTGCAGTGGTATCTCCAGTATTCATGCCATTTTTATCACAGCTCTGTCCTTGTACTTTGTGTTCGGGTCCGATCTCTTTTCTGACCAACAGCACCTTGGCCTTATTACATTTCGAAGCTCACCACTGTCTGTTTTTGGGTTAGGGGTATGTGCCTTCAATTATTAATTTTATTATGAATTCTCAATTATTATCAAAGTATTATTTTACATGTATATTGTTCAAGTGTAATATCATTGTCGGTTTCAATTTGACCTTAAGCTCGTAGGAAGTGATGAACAAATCCCAACATTATCTTATTTGCTTCATTATCATCTGACCAGGCCTAGCCTAGCAGTTAGAAATTAACGCATGAGCCAATCTATCACAGATTGACGAGTGATCTGGACTTTATATATTGTTGGTTGTTTCATCTATATGCACTTTCTTTTGTTTGTATCTCCTGACATTTTTCTGTGGGACATAATTAAGATCATATATCACAGGTCTCTGTTGGGTACTTCTGTGCGGATCTGGGAATGCTGTTATGGCTATATCCTTCTTTAGGTGGAATCGAGTATGTAAGTAACTTCTATATGGAAGACAATTCATATATAATTTATTGGTTTGCTCTAACCGTCTTGACATATGGGTCAGAAGCATCATTTACCAAGGTTATAATAATCCCATTAAGGTGATGCTTAATTGCACAGACATGTATCTAGAAAGTAGAGAAGAAGAGGTTAAGTGAACGGAAAAAGAAATCACATTTGCATATAAATTAAGTTAGTCACTTTTGATTAGACTTTGGCATTTTCTCTTGGATCAGTTTCATTGGAATTTAGGGCTTTTCATATTCAGTTTTCTCTTATAATAGGAGAGGTGGCTGTAGTTGAAATTCGATATATGTTCTGCTTATCTTTGTAATGGTTGGCACTTGGCAGAGGTGTTGTTAGAGTTTAACGGTTTTACTTTTGTTGTTGGACTTTTTGGTGGTAAAATAAATTTTATTTCTTTCCAAAAGAATGTATATAATAATTAAACAAACACTAGTCAGCTTATACACAAATCTTTTATTAGAAACAAGTAACGTTCACCACATGTTTGCAGCTGTATAACTCTTGATATGGTGGGATTCAATTTCAGGTTTTCCATCACTCACTATCTGGAATTGCAGTAGCATACTCCATGTTTTCTGGGGAAGGGCAACTTTATACATACATGATCCTCATCTCTGAGATCACTACGCCAGAGATCAATATGAGATGGTAAGTTTATACACACAAGATTATGTTTAGTTTATGGTTTTCCATCTTTAATATAAGCTTTCGGTTTCATGAAGGTATCTTGATACAGCTGGTCTGAAGAGGTCCAGCGCATATCTCCTAAACGGCATTGTGATATTTTTATTATGGCTGGTCAGTTGAAGTCCTTTTGTATTATTATCTTTTGATCATTAAAGGTGGGGCTATCATATAATAGAGGGAATTCAGTTGCAACAACACTTCCCTGATACTTTCACTTATAATATTGGGTAGTGCTATCCACACACCCATTTTTACTTTTCACACTCCCCTCTCAATTTTCGGCCGTCGGATCGAATGAATTGAAGAGGATCAATGGCCAAAAATTAACAAGGGTGTGAGAGGTGTGTGTGTGTGAATAGCACTATCCATAATATAAACTCAGTCATTTCGTAGCCACTTGTCTTGATGTAAGCAGCATCATGAGCATATATCTTTCTTGTCCTCTGGTTACATAACTATCGTTGTTAGACATGCTTTCTGAAGGACTTTATGGAATGCAGGCGGCAAGAATTCTGCTGTTCGGTTACATGTTTTACCATGTTTACTTGCACTATGATATGGTAAGATTGCAACTCCATGAAGAAATGTACCACCTACACCTTGTATTTTGCTTGCTGTATACTTTCAGTCTTCAAAAGTTGAGTTATGCACTTTACATTCTTTGGATAGTTCTCTGAGAAGGGGTAAAAAGTTTGGATCTTTGCATTTTCAACACCGTCCTCTTTTGGTGTGCTTTTCTTGGGAACAGGATGAAATCTTGAATCTTGCTCATGGAGTGCAATATTTTACATTTTTTAACCATTCTAGAAGATTCTATATTTCTCAGGTCGTACTTCTTTAAACGAAAAAAAAAAAGAAATGAAAAGGGACGAAAACATCCTTTACATGTTCCCTTAAAAGCAATCTTTGTGAAATTTGTATGAATCGTCTTTTCAGATTTTGGAGTGTCATTTGTTGCAAGTAGTTAATCATTTTAATTGGATTGCAGATCATCCAGATGCACATCTTCGGATATCTTTTGGTCTTTGTCGTGCCAACAGTGCTAGCAGTAATGAATTTGATGTGGTTTGGAAAGATTATCAAGGGATTGATGAAGCAATTGGCCAAGATGCAATGATGGATATCCATATATATACATATATATATGTATGTATATGTGTATATATATATATGTATATGTATATGTATATATGTGTGTTTGAAATGAGTCGAAAGGCTTGCGCTTTAAGATGGATCTGATCTTGTGCATTCTTCTATATTGTTGCTGTATAAATGATAGAGGCCCAGAGGAGGGTTAAAAAGCAATCAAAACCGGAGGCATTTTGGAGGCCAAAATTGTTGTAGATGATTCCAAGTTTGTTGTTAAGTTACGAGGGGAATCGATTATGTCACGATAGTTAAATGGTTCAAAGTTGCATGCGTTGTTTCAGCAACCTCTTTAATGTTTTCACTAGTTTTGCTACAATGCTTAGCTTATTATGGATGTGCCTACCCACAAGTTGAGATGTGCAAATCCATATTGGACCTGGATTGTCTGCCGTTCTCATCTCATGCTCTTTCCATTCCCGCTTATTTCTGTGGTCACGGTTAAGTTATGTCAACATTTTATATTGAATTTTTTTTAGAAATAATAAGACAAAAAGCAATAGGAATATAAAATATTGATTTGGTTTAATCGTGATCATAGAAATAGGAGGGGATAAGAAGGGTATGGGATGGGGATGGCAAACAATTCAGGTCCTATGCACAAGGACCCTAAGCATGTTCCGAAAAGTAATTTCCACAGAGCTCGTCCTTTTTAGAAATTGTAAGATTAAATAAATCAAATAGGAATTAAGGTATCGTTTGGTATGCAGACGGGACGGGACAGGACGGAACGGAATGAGACAAGACGGGACAGGACAGGACGGAACAGAACGGAGCGGGAGCAAAGATGCCCTCGGATGGAAACAAGGAGGAAGAAGAAGGAGATGGAGAGATTACAATTTTGTGTTCCACGGATGTGGAACGAGTCGTTCCAGGGGGGTGAGGTGGAACGAAAATTCACCCAAAACTCGTCCTGTGGAACAACTCGTTCCACCCGTTTTAGGCGCACCAAACGTGGGACGGAACGCCTTGTCCCACTCTGTTCCGTCCCGTCCCACGTACCAAACGGTGCTTAAGCGACAAAATAAACGATGAGTCCGAAAGTTAAAAATGGAAGTGTGTTCTTATTTATTTGTGATTTGTCATCATTTGGTGATTTTACGTCGCATTGAAGACAAAAGTAGGAAAAATCTTGAGGATCAACCTAGTACCGCACCTGCGACGGATTGCAAAAGCATCCATGTACCATTTTCCCCCTCTACGTAAAATAGAATAGCTATTAGGTATCTATCAGTCGGGCTCGTGGTATCTAATTTCTAGAATTTCTAGTGCTCAAGTAAAATATATATCAACTCAACTCATTTTGTTTAACCAGTTTTTTTTTTTGTTGGGTACGATTTAATTATAATTTTTTAAAATGCAGATATGTTGTCAATGATATTAATTTTATCTATAATTTGACCTTTAAATTATCAAGATCCGTTGAATATGATTGTTTATAAACTCAACTTCCCTTGCCCAAAGGCACAGTCAACCTCGAGGGAGGACTGGATGCATAACAAATTAGCAAGTAACGACCGTTTACATGGAACAAGTGGAAGATAGAAAGCATTGAAACGAAAACATATATATATATATATATATATATATATATATATATTCTTTAAGGGAATGGATACGTTTCAAAAAATAGAGATTAGTTGTGGGGCCCACATTCCATTGAACTTCAACGACCCAAACAATCTATTTTTCAAGTTGCACCTCATAGATCATTCTTGCAAATATTTGAGGCATCTAATTGAGTTCAAAGAAATTGACGAACACTGTGTTCTAAGAAATGTTAAAATTTCATCGTAACAACTAAATGGATAAATGGTTTCAAATTGAATAGAATTGTTTTCATAGATCATCTATGAATTGAGATTTACAAAATTGACGGTTTGGATTGTTGAAGTTTGATATGGAATGGGTCCCACAACTAATGCCCATTTTTTGATATTATAAACTTTGTGTTTGTTCAAATAAGAAGTTTACAGACTTTGAGTCTTTATGTTAACCATACCAAGTACAATTGTCTCTGCAAAAAGAAGTTTTTCAAAATTAAAGTTGATTAAATCTTATCTTCGGTCAATTATATCCAGGGTTTAAAATTTCTTCGATATAGTCGATATTTCCATGGAAATATCCAAAAATCATAGAAGGGTATGGAAATGGGGAAAAATTCTAAACTTCACCTTATATCAGAGAAACTTTTAAGTTTAGGCTGAAATCGACATATATTGTTGATATCTTATACATCTGTTAAATATTGGAGAAACTCTTATATTTTGTCCAAACCAATGTTTGACAATTCCTAAAATTTCTTTATAAATTTCCATTATTTCCATCGATAGCAACCGATATCGATATCAATACTTCCACTTGTACCGATATTTTAAACACTGATTATATGACAAGAAATATTAAATGGATTAGCTATTTTATACTGGAAAAAAAAATGGTTGAAAAATTAGATTATGTAAACTTAATTATTATATTTTTGTTTAAAAACGTGAGATGTATAATATTTAAGTAATGTTTGTAATCTTTCTTCTTTTGATATTATTTTTTAATAATATTTGACGTAGTTCTCAGGGTCAGATGTGTGTGTATGATATGACAAAAAAAAAAAAAAAACAAATGTATTTATACACACACACTAATTAACATTCTCAATAAAATCTGGTCCACCAAACGTAGGTATCCAAAGTGTTGAGTGAGTAGTGTAGCCGTGTAGTGCAAATCAGAACTGAATTAGTTGGGGAAAAGCTATTGTGACAAAATAGTTTTCGAAGCTGATACTATATATATAATGCGTTACTTTTATAACTAATAAACGAAAAGTTAGATAGAACCATATATCATGCAAAAAACAATTCAAAAGTGCAAGCTTGGTTAACATGCATTCGAACAGCAGCCGATATAGGCAAACTTAATTAAAGAAAGGATGGCCAGGTGTCATCTTCCAATATCGTATTTTATTAACATTTGAAAGTACATTCTTAATTAATCCGTTAAAGTATGCAGTAAAAGTACAGCGACAGCTAGGGTTTAGGGTTAGTGGCATGTAAATTATGTTCTAAGCATGTAAATTATGCAGCAAAGTACAGGTACAGCTAGAGTTTAGGGTTTAGTGGCATGTAAATTATGGTCTAAGTATGTAAGTTATGCAGCAAAGTACAGGTACAGCTAGGGTTTAGGGTTTAGTGGCATGTATTATGTCCTAAGCATGTACAGATACAATTTTTATTAGGGGGTATACTAATACGAGTAATCTTCCTGAAATGGTAGTAAAACCCATGTGAGTTTGTGGAATGGCAAGCAAGAACTGATCGGTCCTCGTCAGTATTATCCTGTGGTTTGAGGATGTTGCGTCATCTCCAGCCGAGAAGGTTCCATGTCTGACATGTTCCAAATTCTATGTTCTTTGTTTGTTTTCGATAATGTTAATATGACCCATAAAACCCGCAGTTTTTGAAGCTTAGCAGATTTGCAGGGCATGATCGTGATTCGTGAGTGCCATTATGTATCTAGGAGTTTATGATGCATGAACTTGCTAATTATTCTTAATAAAAGTTCACATTTTGGCAACAGCAAAGAAATTACAACGCATGAAATTTTAATCCAACTTCTCATCGGGTGTTCGAATTTGCTTAGTCGACCAAAACCTGTGTATAATATATAATAAAGCATGCGCAGTCTTTTTATGATTTCTGGTCTCTGTGTGTGTGTGTGTGTTATATCTGAGCATGCACGGATGCTATACATCCCTTCATGTGCGTGCGTACGTGTAGCGCACACACTCGCAATTTTAATTCAGAACCTCTGGATGATAAACATCTGTTACTCCATATGAGAAAACCCTAATGCAGCTCAGATAATTAGTCTACCTTTTAATTCATTGAATTAATGACCTCTATAAATAGGTACTACATATAACAAGGATTCACCTGTCTCTATATACCTAATCTTTTGATCCCAAATGGCAACACCCCTCAGCACGACCTCCCTTTTCCTTCTAGCCGTTGCAACATTCTTCAGTTTCAACCAAACCCTAGCCAGCCATAGCTCCAGTTCTACTTCCCTGGTGCTTGGACTAACACATTCTCAGGTTTCCCTTCCAAGCCCGAAAGCATCTTCTTACTCGAAAAAGATGCCATCACAAGTGTCAGACATGGTAGAGCCATTGAGGGAAGTGAGAGATGGGTATTTGATATCTCTTAGTTTAGGGACACCCTCACAAGTCACTCAAGTATATATGGATACCGGGAGTGACCTAACTTGGGTTCCTTGTGGCAATCTTTCTTTTGTTTGCATAGATTGTGATGACGATAGGAACAACAAACTAATGCCCACTTTCTCTCCTTCAGCTTCTTCTTCGTCTATTAGAGACCTTTGTGGGAGCTCCTTTTGCATTGACATCCATAGCTCAGATAACTCTATCGATCCATGCACCATTGCTGGATGTTCGCTTGCTACCCTTCTTAAGGACACATGTCCTAGACCATGCCCTTCATTTGCTTACACTTATGGCGCAGGTGGGGTTGTCCAAGGGACACTTAGTAGAGACACGCTAAGGGTTCATGGAATTAGTACTACCCCCAACAATATTGTCACTAGGGAAATTCCCAAGTTTTGTTTTGGGTGCATCGGGTCTACCTATAAAGAGCCTATTGGGATTGCAGGCTTTGGTAGGGGAGCGCTTTCCCTCCCATCCCAATTAGGGTTTCTACATAAGAGCTTCTCTCATTGCTTCTTGGCTTTCAAGTATGCAAACAACCCTAATGTTTCAAGTCCACTAGTCGTAGGAGATGTTGCTATTTCTTCCAAGGAAAACTTGCAATTCACTCCAATGTTGAAGAGTCCCATGTACCCTAACAACTACTACATTGGTCTAGAGGCCATCACAATAGGTAATGCCAGTGCAGTAACACAAGTGCCCTCAAGCTTGAGAGAGTTTGATTCACAAGGCAATGGGGGTTTGCTGATTGACTCAGGAACCACTTACACGTCATTTGCCTGAGCCATTTTACTCCAATCTTCTCTCCGTTCTTGAGTCGGTGATTTCGTATCCTAGGGCCAAGGAAATGGAGACAAAGACCTCTTTTGATCTTTGTTATTTAGTCCCACACACAATGAATAATACTATCACAAATCAGGAAGACCTACTATTTCCTCCAATAACTTTCCACTTCTTGAATAATGTGAGTCTTGCTTTGCCCCAAGGAAATCACTTCTATGCCATGGGAGCTCCAGTAAACTCGAGTGTGGTGAAATGCTTATTGTTCCAAACAATGGATGATGGAGATTACGGGCCAGCCGGGGTTTTCGGTAGCTTCCAGCAGCAAAATGTGGAGGTTGTGTATGACCTGGCGAAAGAGAGAATTGGGTTTCAGCCAATGGATTGTGCTTCAGCTGCAGCCTCTCAAGGACTTCAAAGAAACTAAGTAACTCCCTTCCATGTTTTCATGATACGGTCGTTCTTGCTGTTTTAAAGTTGTGCATTTCAGCAGACAAAATAACGAGGCTTCGGCAATTGCAGTTTGAAATTTTGCATAATGTATTTTGCTAGTTTATTTTTGTTTCAATAAATTTAATTCGCTTTTTGTTCTTGGCCAAATATCATTGTGTGAAAATGATGAGCTGGTTATATTCCAGTTGATTGGTGAAGATGGAACCATTTGCAGTGGAGTAACTTAATTAGCAATATTCTCTGTGAACCAATTGTTTACTTATCTTTATTCTCCTTTTGTTTATTCAATTTAAGCCCTAATTTAAAATTTGCAAACATATAGGAACACTATTGACCTATTAATGCAATTTATTTACACTCATGCCACTCATACTTTATGGTTCCTTTTTCAAATTCCTAAATTTATGCCAAATTAAAAGTAGTAGAAAAAGTGAAATAAAATGAAAAAAGTGTTTGCATTAACCGTATCTATGTTAAACTAGAAAAGTAGTTTTTTTTTTTTCGTGATATATTTTGTAGCAATTTTATCCATATTAATTGGTAGGTAAATTAGTTTGTTCCAATTATTTTTTAAAAATAAATACTACACCTATATTATATATTTTGAATCAAATAACATTCCTCTAACTTGTAGGTAAATTATTTTATATGTATTGTTATATATGTTAGACACGTTTTGTTGTTGTATAAACATGAGTGGAACATAATATTGTTGATTTTATATACATCAAACTGCATTTCTTTTGTTATAGGTAAATTATTTTCCATGTACAAGTACTTATGTTAGGCAAGTTTAGTTGTTGGTACCTACACCCATGGTATAATTGGTGTAGGTAAATTATTGGAAATTAATTTGTAGTTAGGTAATGAACATTTTGCATCATTGGAAATGAACATTTCAAAGAGTAGGTAGGTAAATTAATTTGTTCTGATTATATAAAAAAAATTACACGACACCTAGTTATATTTAATTTTTCCAATTATTAAAAAAATTTATGCTACACCCAACCAAATAACATTTCTCTAACTTGTAGGTAAATTATTTTCCATGTATTGTTAGATATGTTAGGCACGTTTTATTGTTTTATAAACATGGGTGTAACATAGTATTTTTAATACTATGCATCGAACTACATTCCTTCTTAATATAGGTAAATTATTTTCCATGTAATTAGTACATATGTTAGGCATGTTTTTTTGTTGGTATATTATTTTGCATCATTGTAAAAAAGAGATATTATATTACACCCATGGTATAATTGTTGTAGGTAAATTAATGTGCATGTAGATAATGAAATAAAAATGTCAGAAATAACAGTGTGAGAAAAAAAGCGTGCGGGAATCACTTCCCTATGCCGATTGGTAACAACTGAGAATTGCGAGCTAACGGTACGAAACGAATAGAATAGAGCATTGAACATGCACGATAAGTAGTAGGAGGCCTGCAAGTATGTATGTGCTAAAAGTCGGATCTTCATGTTGAAAAACAAAAGTGCTTTCTGCCGCAGATAGGCTTATAATAAGCCGCTTATCAGGACAGCACAAACAAAACACCAATAGGTAAGATGTACTGATACAGCTTGAAGGAGATGTTTTTTTAAAAGGAAAACTAATAAAAAAAAATATTCAAAACTTTGAATTTTAATCAAAAGTCATTAAATAACTTTATTTAATGATAAGAACAAGTGAAGGAAAAAAAAAAAAAAAAAACTTCTCAAACGTGTGCGCAGTCTCCTTTGCCGTTGCATCTTTGGCTGCTTCTTTTTTCAGTACCCATCCACTGGGGTCCAAAAATTGCCTGCCAAAGCAACTCCAATCATGGTTGCTCATATCTATTTTACAGCACACACCTCTATATATTTGTACTATATATATACATACACACCCTACTACCTATTATATATTATGGACATATGAAGCACTGAAGACTACCTTGTGCAACTTTATTGACCACGCCACTACCTTTTATACCTACAATTTTAATTTACATGATGCACCATTGAGACGAGTGTGATGTTCCCAGCAATTTCCATCCACGAAACCGTCGGCGCCGTGAGATGCTTTGTAAATTGTATGGTAACCAAAATTCAAGGTTTTTAAGTCCAGGGCTCATATCCGTGGGTGTATTTGATTTTATTGATTTCATTTGCATTATTTTTTTATTTTGCAGAGGGAGAAGGTGAGATTGTAGGTGGAGGAGAAGAGGAAGCCACAGATGGGTGGACAATAAAAGAAAATTAAGTAATTGGTGAAGAAAGTTAAGAAATCGAAGGGATACAGAAAAAATTTGATGAGTATCAGACAAAATTAGAAGAAGAAAATGTGTTTGGAATATGAGAATATGCCATAAACAATCAAGAGGAGAGAGAAAAATGTAACACCGTTAAATTATGTCTTTTTTATTAAAATTTAAAATCTTTTGTCCTGTTTATTAAAATTTAAGAACTTTTCATTAAAATTTATCTTTTTCATTAAATAAAGTTATAGCATAATTTTTTTATTAAAATACACTTAGCCCAAAACCTTTTCATAAAGTTCCCATTTTTAAAAACAAACGAGTTTTCAAACCCAACTAATATAATGCTACTAAGTACTAACAACTTGCCCAAATGAATCCCACAATTGCTAGCCACAGCATGTATCGATTTCGATTTTCAAACATCCCTATTTTTCTTACTAAGCTGAACTGTAAAATGATGCTAATATATGTACTTTGTGCGTGTGGGTGCTGAAAACTGGGCAACAAGGACCGACTTCGTAGTTTCCACTAAAATTATGTTCAGTTCTAATTAAAGAACAAGAATTCTTATTAGTTACTACCAAACATCCGAGTATTTTCATGCCAAACCATTTCATTACAAGAAAAGACAATCACAATCTCCATATCTAAACAAACATGCATATACAAATCTGAATTCAATGTACACATTCAAGTGAAACTCGATAGCTGATATATCATGTTCCAACCGTGAGTTACGCGAGCTATTGTGGAAATACCGAGCAGGCAGTGACCGAAAGCACCGTAGAAGGTTCTCCGGTCTATGAGCAACAAGACGAGCTTGCCACCCTTTCAGAAGGTCTGTCCATAAGAACCATTCCTGCGGGTTCTGCACAGGCTGCACTCGAGGTAATCTCTTTGCTGTACCCCAAAACAGAAGAAAACCGCAATCAGATCACTAAATTACATTATAACAAAAACCAAATAAGCAAAAAGACATGCGTAAATCCATTTTTTAACAGTTAATTCATTGCGCTGAAATGGGTAGATGCTATTGCTCCTATAAAGACCTTATAAAAGTACCTATCTCATAGAAAATGTCATTGACATTGTCTGCAGTTTTTGCAGAGGTTTCGAGGAAGAAAAGGCCATTCTCTTGAGCATATGATTGTGCATCCTACAACAGCAGCAGCAATTATACGAGCAGCACTCAGAATGAATATACATATAAGTTATAACAAATAGATTCTAGTCAAGCAAGCTCCATTAAACATCGTACTTTATTATACAGTTCCTTTTGTTTGTCCATTCTTTCAAAGTAACCTCTTCAAGGAAACAAATATAAATTTTAATTTCACATTATTTAAATCTTTTTCACACATATTTTTCAGAAAAGTGCAGTACCACAAATTGCGATACACAACCTGGAGTACATGAACTACAGTCCGCAAGCCTAGGGAAATATGCTTAGTTGCTTCAAACTTCAAAACTAAATATCAACATTGGATAGATGAAAAGAGACAGAGAAAAAGACAGCTTGCAGTTACCCATGTCATATAATACGTGCAGAATGGAGAACTGGAAGATATTACTATAAGAATGAAACTGTAATAACGTTGTCCAACACTAATATATAAGCATACTTTATACAAGAAGAACGAATGATTCAAGAATGAGGCGTTTGGACAGGAAAAATATCTAGTGATATAAAAGTTCAACCAGTAAGCAGAACAAAAGAAAGCAGAAAGTAATGACTTACCTCTGCTGCCACTTTCCTGGCCTCCACCAGATCCGCTTTATTACCAGCTAGTGCCATAACCATGTTTGGGTTACCTTGTCATATGAGAAAAAAATAAAATTATTAAAAATTAATGTCACAATGGGAAAACTAAAGAAGCCAGTACCAAAACTTAGCATACATTAGTTTCCATGCCCCATCAATTAAATAGAGGAATGTCTACAGGCTACAATAAAGTGATAAAAAATACCTTGTGACTTGAGTTCGAGGACCCATTTTTTTGCTCGCTCAAATGAGGCCTACAAGAAAAGTAAAATTAAATTTCTATTTAAGATGCATTTGACTTAATATATCACATTAGCCAAAAAATGAGACACAAAAGCAATAAATGATAAGATATCCAATAGGAACAACCTTCAACTAGGGATGACTAAAGCCTGAATTCTACTGAATGAATGCAAATTCAACATCAACAAAGAAATAAATTTCATGGAAATCTAAAATTCCAAACACTGGAAAAAATGTTTTCAGAATACTCACTTGATTTGTTAAATCATACACAATAATTGCAGCAGCAGCTCCTCTGTAATACATTGGCGCCAAACTATGGTACCTCTCTTGACCTGCTGTATCCCAAATCTCAAATTTTACAGTTGCATCGTTTACAGCCAATGTTTGTGAGAAGAAGGCAGCACCTATTGTTGATTCCTGTATCATACAAAAAACGGTAATGGTCTGGACCAAAAAGAAAAGGCTTCCTTTGAAAGTTATAGAACAAACCTGAAATTCAATGAATTGTCCTTTTACAAAGCGCAACACCAGACTAGACTTCCCAGCTCCAACATCCCCAAGAAGCACCTGAACCAGCACATCAAACATCAAACTGGTAATGACGAAATGCAATACCCAAAGAAAAATAATAAACAAATTACTAAAAATTATACATCACATTATGCTAAACTGCATATGCCTACATATATTCGAATTAGTGATCAGTATATTAGCAAACATCTTTCAAAGAAAGCACAACCTTTATGTTGACATGGACTCCTGCTTTTACATTTGTATTCCTACTTATAATATGGTAGCATTGTGGCAATACTGACATCATATACCAAGAAAGTTATGAGACTTGCACCAGTCACAGTATGTTCATTTGTTCTCAGAGACCCTCGGGTTAAAACATCGGAACCAGACCGAGATAAACAAGAATACGAAAGAGTAATAACTTTGGTCTAAACGGATAGGAATCCTAACAAGCTTTCAGTCCCATTTTTTCTCAATGCAGCGAGGATGCTAAAATAAATTAAAAAACCATGACCATACACAAGCAAGAATACAACTATGGAAAAACAAAAGTGCAAAATTTCGACATTAAAAGATGTTGTAATTGACTACCATTCCAGGGTTTAAAGAAAAGAAAAAAAAAAAGATATTGTTAACCCACATTCCTTTATGTTAATTAAAGCAATCAAATCCATTAATAACGAAACATAAATCCAAATATGAACTGGCCTGAAAATACACAATAATCTGAATATTACGCACAAATCATGCAGAACAAAATTCACAGCTGAACAAATCAGACCCAAATCAGAATATCCAAAATCCAAAACAAATTGCATGAGAAACAAACCAAATTCACATCACAATTCTCATTGAATCGTACACAAACCGATCAAAAACACAAAATTTCCTAAACCCCAGTTGAAATTACACAAATCCCATACAGGACAGCATCAAAGATCAATCAGAATCGCACAATTTCATAAAATTGAATAGAAAGCAGGCTCAAGAAAAGGGCTTTTCGCAGAAGCAGAAACGCGTACCAATTTGGCATTGATGTTCTTGTTCCCGGCGGTGGCCATGAGTGCAATGGATTGAAAATTGATGAGATCAGAAAATCGAGCAGAATTTGAGGCAGAGGAACGCAGACGTTGACGAAGAAGGCAAGATGGGGTCTGATGCAAGCAGAAGCAGAAGAAGAAGAAGAAGAAGGCGGCAAATCGAGGAAGGATCCTAAAAGCCAAGCCAAGACCAACAACCCTTCTCTCTCTCTCTCTCTCTTCTCGAATGCGAAGACCTTTACTGAAGCAAATGACCTTTTTTTTTTTAACGGAATATTATTATTTCCGATTATTTTATTTTATTTAATACCAACGTGTTCCGCGTGGCAAAGCGTACGAGACGGAATAATCTTCTTTCATCGTTCCAGTCCAACCAGGCCAACCAGCCTGTCTACTCAGCTTCCACTTGGGCACCTTTTGTTTAAGATAATGAGCTCATTCGACGGGCTTGGACTTGAAGTTTAGGCCCAACACAATCATGGACCGGCCTAGTACTTTTGAGGCCCAACACATTCCCGGGATTAAGTTGGTGAATTGGAGTCTTTTCCTTCGAACCTGTATCCCGATTTAAACCATTTTCCTTAGAGGGTACCCTTATAATATTGGGACGTGATATCAACATTTTTTTTTTTATCTTTCACACATTTTTTAATTTTCGACCATTGGATCAGATGAATTGAAGAAAATCAAAAGGCAAAAATTAATAAATGATATATAAGAAGTAAAAAAAATGTGTTTAGATAGCACACTCCATAATATTTTGTGAGCTGTTAACTCACACAAGAAACGTCACGTGACTCACTTAGTAAAATATGTGACATGCATGAATTAGGCGTTCAAGAACCAAGACCCCTTTCGGTAATTTTCTGTAAAGCAATTTTTGAAGAATTGTTTTGTAAAACCGAAACGACAAATAGGATTTCGCATTTTATGACTTGAACATGTGTTTGGTGGTTTAATTCAAGATTGATTTTTGGGAAATGAAAATCTTGAAAATGCGTCTAGTAACTATATCTAAAATGTTAAAATTCGTATTTGGTAGTAATGTGGCGGTGGTGGTATTCAAGATTGAATTTTGAGAACGAAAAACGTTGAAAACACATCTGGTAAATATATCTAACATGTCAAAATTCGTGTTTGGTAGTAATAGTGACAGTGGTGGCAGCTATCGTGGTTGAGAAATGTGGTAGTGGTGAGGGTGGGGTGGGCATGGTGGAGGTGGTGGTAGCAGTAGCCATGATAAGGGTAATGAAGGGAGGGGGGGGTGGGATGTGGTGATGGTGGTAGCGGCAGCGATTGTGATGGGATGTGGTGGTGGTGGTGGTCATAGTAGTGAGACAATAGAGGTGGTGATGGCCATGGTGACGGGAGTGATGACGGTGGATAACATGGTGGTGGTGGTGGTGAGAGCAGAGGTGCAAGTGGTAATTATGTCATTTTGAGCATGGTGAGACGATGGAGGTGGTGGTGGTCATGATAGCGAGGGTGATGGCAGTGGTGATGATGATGGTGAGACATTAAAGAATGTTATGATGGTGGTGGTGGAGATGGTGATGGTAGTGGTGGCTTTATAATGTATCTTTTATTTTCTATTATTTTGAAAACTGTTTTTGGAAAACAAAAGAAACATCAATTTGATGTTCTACAAGCTCAGGTTAAATAAATATGAGATTTTGTTTTCACAAAACAGTTTGCCAATCGCATTTTTCACCCATCTTTGTATTTGTAAAATGAGAAACTGTTTTGTAAAATGTTAACGAATGAACCCTAAAATTTTTAAGTGCAGCAAACAACATCTTTATACCTTGATTAGAATTTATCCTAATTAGTGAGAACTTTAAAGTTTGTAAAGATAAAAATAAAATTGTAAGGGAAGTATGAGGCTATCTTCACAACTCCTTCACTTAGCCGACTTCATAACTCCTCCCAAAGATTCAATCTAAAACATCGTGTTTTTCATGTGAATGCGAACTACGAAAATGAGGCTAAAATCCACACACGCACCTCCACTGCGGCGGTACGTACGACCTCTCTTTTTCTCCACGTACGTACTTCTGATCGGATATCATTTCACATGTTTGCAAATACTTTCCTTTGATTCATTACAATGACGTATTTGATTTTCATGCCTTGGGTTTGCTTTTTCTACGTTTTTTTGCACAGTGCACATGTTCAACATGGCAGAGCTACTAAAGGACTAGAGTGGTTTTAGATCCATCATGACAACTGTCTAAAAAATTTCTAGCCGCTTCAAGCTTGCAATTGTAGAACAATGAAACATAATGAAGAAGATGAATTGTCCCTATGAAGAAGTTGAGTCCAACGATGTCGTGTTTTATATTTTTCTGACAGTTTTGTTTATTTGGTCTTTGTGATTTAGTGAAACTCAGGGGTGGAGTTTTAAAATCAATTTTAATGTTATTTCTAAAGCAACATAATCAACTATTATTTGCAGCCCTTCTCTTTGCCCTCCTTCTTCAATCAAACGATTCAAACCAGATTTCTTTGTATTTTCTTCCTATAATTTCTATTGAATTTGGTGGGTCTTTCAATTTTGTGAAAATTAGTTCAATTGCTCATGTTATGAGTTTGAAATTTATTCTTAATACGGATATAAAAGACCCTCTCTCACAAAGAATTCTCGCTCCGCCAGTGTCAACATTTATTCATGTCTTTCCTGCATATTGGATAATTGGCAAAATACATATGGCTATAGAAGAGCTGAAAGACCCCTTTGTATATTTGTAGTATTTTGAAGGTTACTTTGTTTTTTAGATAATGGTTTGACCTTTCAACAAGCGATGCAGGTTTAGGTTAGGTATCTCTACGCGTAAAAAAAATATTAAAAATATGACTTTAACCCTTGAAATTCAAGTTTCTTTATATATATAAAATTCGATATAGTCTTTTTACTTGAATAAAACCCAATGACTAGACTCCACATAAGCAAATTCATTACTTTTGAATTATCTCTTTAATGGAGATGGGACGATATGTGTTAGTGAGCTCTACTTCTATTAGATAAATGATACAAATGATGGTTCAAAGTGTAACATTACATTACTCATACTATATATAACTTGATGCAGATGACCTAGACTCTTGGGTCAACTTATCCACCAGTAGTGCAATCTTATATGGAACCAGGCACGTGATAGTACTATACCATCAAAATTCAACCCAAATTTCCTCGTAGCACTTATACAACTAACTCATTGCACTGGTAATACGAACACTTACATATAACATGAATCAATATGTCAATCCATGCATCAAAGATGTTAGTATACTATTTGCATGGTAATAGGTACGTACCTCTTCATTTTTCTTTCAAATATTGCATTTTTAAGTCAATACAATAAAATTTTCTTCCTCACTTGAACAGTGGATTCCAAAATCATTAACGATTTTTTCATAGATATAATTACATACAGTATTTCATCTACTGATATCAATCATAGATCACCTAGAACCTACTCTAACATGTTGAAGAAAACCAATCAGAAGTGCAAATCGCGAAAGCAAAGCCATAAAACATATCGTAGTACCACAATGACTATAACTCGTGTTTAACTTTTCCATACAAACGATATTAGAGGGAGATTAAAGCTTTAACAATACATAATTAGGAAAAAGTTGACTTGAAAAAGAAAAATTAAGCAGAGATAAAGAAAAGGGTAATGTAAATTAATGTGGGTGTCTTTATATGAAAAGGAGAAAGACTTATATAATCGAGATTCGAGGAGGTTAGCTCCTCCCTGTGACCGTGAATGTGTATGTGATGCCCTCCAAGGGAAAAAAGTTGAACTTTAGCACACTCCTTTTGTCAGAGGCACACAGCCAGCGAGGGCTACCAAATTAGCCAATAATGATCTCTCTCTCTCTCTCTCTCTCTCTCCTCTCACACTCACACATATGAAAACCTACTTTTGCAGCTTGCAACGCGACACCACACAGGACAGGAGAAAGAAAGTAAAAGAACATCTCCTCCATTGATTCAACCACCAATAATAGCAACAAAAGATGACAGATGAAGGATCAATGGATGGCATATTGGTAACTGTAGTGCAATGTCCAAAGGGCATCCTTCCCCTCTCTCTCTACCCCCTCACAGAGATCATTGACTGGTCGCCTTTGACCAGTCTTTTGGGAAGCACTTGTCTCTCTGCGTCTTTGCAGTACTACTGCTAACTGATCAGTACTCGCTTTCTTCTCTCTCTCTCATCTGTACCTCATAAATGATACATGAATAAGCTCAATCTCCACTTCGATTTTCACTGCGTGACATACACTATCCAATCATATAGTATGTGTTTAACTTCTCTGCTATTAAGTTGATTTTTGATGTGTATGAGAGAGTTCATGGGAAAAATTGCATAACATCTGTTTAATTCCTCTGTATATAACATGAACCAAGCAATCTGCATTATGCATTTTCAAAACTTTAAGAAAATAATTTCATGACTGTAGGAGATAAAAGTTGTGGCATGGATACACCGTTATTACTACACGACGCCACAATGACGACGTATTCTTGTTATGCAAGTTGCTCTTGTTAGCTACATGATCGAATGATAATATTAAAACCATAGACCATGGTTTACCCCATGATTATCAGGTTAAATCACTTGGTAATTACTACAAGTGTGATCACATAGCTATACATTGTGTGTTTGAGTGAGAGAAGTTACTAAGAAAAAGAAAAAACACATAATTAGAATCGTTAGTAAGTGAATCCAATAACATGAAACTCAAAACACAAATGGGGTTTATCTAGTCAAAAGGAAAATATGACAAATTAAGGGGTTTATAAATTATGTACAATCACCAAATGAGATCAATGAAATCTCTACCTCTCTCTTTTTCTATCTTATGGTCATATAAATAAATAGAAAATATTAATGTAAATTAATTAAGATGATGATGATCACTAATTAATTTAATCAATTTGGAGGTGGCTGTTGGTTCTTGTTGGAAGCCAAGGCATGGATGGAATTTGCAAGCTTGTTAATGGCATCAATGAGGCCATTAATGCCTTGCCTGTTGATCTCAGTCTTAGTTTCCTCGATCTGTAGCCTTCTCTCATGCAAACTCAACATCTCTCTGTGCCTCCTCTCTTCTCTCTCCTCACAGCTCTGAAGTGCTTCTGCAATCAAGGAAGCACCTCCAGCGATGGCAGTTCCCACTTCACTTGAGGTGCTTGCGCTCACGGTTCCACTGGTTCCTCCTTGATCTCCACCAGCCACCACCTCCACCTCTTCCACTTGCCCGCCTCCTCCTTTTAGCTGGTGAGTCTGAATGCTCACTTGTATCAGAATCTGATATTATTTCACACGTCTCCCAATAGTCAAAATGTTGTTGCACTAATTCAACGAATCGATGTATACTAACTCATCATATTATTAATCATTCATTACCATGCAATGCACACAATAATTATCAATACTACCCTTTTTTTCTTTTCCATGAAATAATAGAAAGTCCATAAATAAATCTTTTATTAGTGGAGAAATTGGCCTAAAATTTAACAGAACTTATGGTTTGATTGGAATATATAAGTACCAATAAATTAGTTGTTTAATTAAGCTTTTACTTCATGAACAAGTGATTAAACATATTAACGTTAGGGACCTGCTATTTGTACTCCAATTAACTCTTCCTCTAAGTGCTTTTAGTGCTAATAACTTATGCATTTTCTTCACAAATTTGGTGGAATAATAAAAATGAAAAATCCAATAATTATTGAGGGGAGAGAGAGAGAGAGAGAGAGAGAGAGAGTACCTACTGTGGGCATCACCTGTGCGTATTGGAAAGCAGGTGGTGGTTGGGCTGCCAGTGTAGCTGGTGGAAGAAGCGGCAATGCTGCAATTGTTGGAACTGAGATTTGATGATGATGTTGCAGAACTGGAGGAGGAGGAGGAGGAGGAGGCAGTGAAGAAGAAGGCTGCTGATGAACACCAGTGGTACTAATTATAGGCCTCTCCAAACCATACCCAATATTTGGACTAATCCCAACATTTGAACCAGAAACAGAAGCTCCTCCCACCACCTGATGACCTCTAATCTGATAACCACCACCACCACCAGGCTTCTCTCCTCTCCACTACATCCACCAAAGCCTCATAAATCTGAAGCACCATATTTGTAGGCAAGTTCCTCTCCTTCCTCTCATTCTTCTCAAGCTTCCAATAAGATGCACTACCTTCTTCTCCTTTCCCTTCTCCCACATTAGTAATCTTCCTCTCATATTCTCTCACTTTCTTGTAATCCCTCATGAGATTGTCCCACTTGTCATTGCACTGGTTTTGGCTTCTCAAACAACCTTTTTTCCAACAGTAGTCCTCCACCCACTTCCACCTGAGCTCAGCTGGTTTGCCCATTGATCTTGTTGTCTGATCAGTTCCTCCACTACTACTACTACCCCCTTCCCCACCCCCACTTCTCTTCATTCTTCTCTCATCATCCATCTTCTTTGCCTCTATCAGAATCATTGTCTCCCCCACTGTCCAGTTCCCTTTCCTGTAGTCCCTCATGATCACACTGCTAGTACCATTTCCTCCTTGTCCAGCCATCACCAAAATGCATGCAGCATTCCCCTAGACCTAGAGAGAGAGAGATCAGAGAGAGAGAGGGGAGGGAAAAATGGTGTAATGGGTCCTTTATGGAGGGTGGATTTGATTTGATGGATGTGTTACTGTGGTGTTCAAACCAGTCAAACCTCAATGAGATTATTGCTAATTTAGGAAAGGGGTAATTAATGGGGTTACCTTAAAAATGATCTAGGGCTCTTAAACAACGCTCTTAAGTGGTGTTTGATGTTGCCATGTATGGTTTGTAGTTTTGCAGGAGGAGAGGGTTTTTGGGTTTTTTGCATCAAGAGGGGGAGAAGATAAATGGGAAGTAAAGACGGAGGTACCTGTTTACACTATTAACCCATAGCTATGATGTATTTTGTATTGTTTCTTTTTGTCTTAAAATTTTCAACCTTTTTGAGAGCTTGAGGGTTGATCTTACACCATGTAAAATCTTCAAAGATTAAAGTTCAAATCTGAATCTACTTATTCAAACCACTACTGCTCCCCACAGTGAAGGAAAGAGAGAGAGAGAGGCTCTGAGGGTAGAGAGAGAGAGAGAGAGAGAGAGTCTGTGACAGTAGAGTACCATTATAAGAAAAGGCCAAGCAAATCCATTCAAACTGACATCTACAACAAACCCCAAAAATTTTCAGAGAGTGAGAGAGATTTGAAGAGAAAAAAATGCAGTGCCTGCTGGCATTAGAGAGGTCAATACATGACTGTCACTCAGCCCTACCCGTGGTGTAGCTTCTCATCATGACACCCGTTCAAATTGTAGATTTTCTTTTTTTTTCATTTTAACATAACCACAGCTAAAACCTAAAAGTGAAGAGAATATTAGCTTTTCTGATCTTGCATTTCTGCTTTTGTTGTTAATTTTTATTCAATGAATTAAATGAAAGTCAAAGAAACTGATTGAGAGAAATGTAAAAGAAAAAACAGGAATGTGAAAATAATCACTCTAACTCTGTAAGAATATAAGCAGTATTGCAGGCGATTCATATGATAGTAAGAAGAGAGCTTCAAACATGTGAGAAATGAATATTATTATATTAAGAGCTAATTAATATTGATGGTCATTGATATGATAATGAGAAGGATGATGGTATAAAACATGAAAAGACTTCTAATTATATTGAAGAATACAAGAATTTCATGACAAAATCAAATCCCAGAAAATCCCATAGCCTCTTCTCTTTACAATGAGAAAGTTGATTGAGACTCTTTATGAACTTTCTGCTATCTCATATTTTTGGTAGAATATTTTACAATGTTGCCACGAGAATTGACTCTCAATTTTGAGACTTTCCATGAACTCTCTGTCATCTCATGTTTTTGGCATAATATTTTACAAAAGTTGCACAAAGTCTATAAAATGTTCAACTTTAAAAAGGTTTCCATAGCATTTCTCTCATGTCTTATTAACAGTAAAGTTCATTGAAACACAATTAAATTATGATTTTTTTATGGGAATTGTTATTAGCACTCCAAAAATCTCATTTTACACTCCAAACTTTCTATATTAGGAAAGAAAAATACACTTGTGAGGAGTGTAGAATGAGATTTTTGAAGTGCCAATAACACTTCCCTTTTTTATTTGATAATTGACTTTAAATATTCTTTAGGGAGTTGAGAACTAATTTCTTGCAATGATGGGTTGAGCATTGTTGTGCATGGTAATGCGCAAAAGCAGCATTATATTTTTCTTTCCATGGGGAAGAAGAAGATCTAGCAGGATAAATCTACATCAAAAGCCTAAAAAATGACTAAGAATCTACCCTAATCAATTAGATTTAGTTTAATTAGTCCCTTAATCCCATGCTATGCCATGCATGCAAAGAATGTTAAAATAATAATTGCCCATGTCGCATGAAAACCCTATCAAACTTTCACTAATTTACCACACAACCCCAAAACTTGGTGCTTTCTTCGAAGAGGACACTTTTGTTCTTTATGTGAAATACAAGTGTCAATTTCGTCTTTTTGAAGATTTGGAGAAGCTTTTACGTGTAATGAGAATACTTGCTATATGCTACTATTTTACGTGTTATATTATCGATGGACAAAAGTGTATGTATTTCTCTTTAGAGTATATTAATAAAAATAAATATAAATATTATAATTTGAGTAGAATTAATCATAACATAACGTGACAGTGCCCTTTATACATGAAAACTTTTTATAAGGTCCATTTTAATTTATGAGCCATTTCAAAAAATTAATTATCCCTTGGCTAGGACATTGTGGGTGGGGGGAGGGGGGGGAGGAGATAAGGATCCTCTCTGGGTTCCTTTTGTGGGGATTTGGATGATCAATCAATCATATCTGTTTATTGTGCATCGTGCGGTTAGTTTTCGTTAGGTATTGTTTCTATTCAATTTTAAATTAAAAATAATTTCTGGCCTCACGATGTGCGATGAATGAATGAATGATTCTTTGGATCCTCTTTGTAGATGATCCGAATAGGATCCTAATCTTGTGTGGGGTACAACTTGTGATATATGTGACAGAGTTGCTTTGACTAGGGTTTTGACCAGGAAGGATGGTTTCAATGGGGTCATGAAACCCCACGACTAGTCCCTTTCTTTCTTAGTTTTTGGCCTCTAGCCTGCTCCTTTTAGGGTAACCAAAACCTAGGGTACTATGGTCATTTAGCAGATTAAATACTTACTTCTTTGGCTCATGCATTTATGTGTGAATGTGATCTCACTATTTGGCTAAGATTTTAATCTGGGTCCTAGCTATCTGCCATTAATTAGATTTGGATTGTGATGAAGATGGTGACTAGGTGTGACAGCAGCTTAAATGGAACACGTACACTCTCATGTGGCGTTTTGATTTACTAATACAATGTAATATGGAAAAAATTTATACATAACGTTGTAGAATTAGACCAGAATGCCACGATGACAGAACAGTTTCATGACTTCAGATTATGAAAATTTATATTTATTTGTACATTAATTTAGAGACCATGGTGTAAAGGTATGGGCATGGGCATTGATGGATGATGGGTGATGAAACTTTAATGTATAGCTAGGCTTCATCAAAAGCCAAAATAGGTCGCATTTTAGAGGGACCAATATTGAATCAATGACATGGGTTCATTCACTAAGTAAATTTCATGTATAATTGTTGTATCATTGCTTGTATTGTATTGTACGTATCCATCCATGTACCACCAACATTAGTCCTTGATAAGGAGCAAGGCTTCCCTATTCTCCTTCAAAAGGCAGAGATTAACAAAGGATATAGATATATTCGGGTGTTCGGTACACTCACTCGAATAATAAAATACGTATAACGTTACAAAAAATATATTTTGTAAACACTTCGATGATATTAAATGTCGGTATGCACTTGTAGTTCGGGTCTTTGCAAGATGTCGTGAGTTTAAGCCACGTTGGATATGAGGGGCTAGACTAGCTAAATGTTCATGTGCAATTAATGAAGAACATGAATGTTTGATTCTAACTTGAAGGATTAAGATGGATGGACTATTCCTCCACATCAAACATGACTAAGGTTTCTGCAAGTGGTCCTTTACCAAAGTAGTGGAAATGTGTTGAGCCCTTGCATAATGGCATGGGTCGAAATCCTGTTGGTGGCTAATCTAACACATAATCTAACAAAATCTATCGTTTGACAAAAAAAAAAAAAAAAAAACATGTGTTAATTACTTCGATCGTATTTTTAAGTATCAAAGCTTAGTTTTGATATTTAAGACCTAACATCAAATGTTTAAATGACCATTTGGTTGTGATGAAGATGGTGACTAGGTGTGCTTTTAAGAAAAAGAAAACATCATGTACGTAGAATTTTTGGATTGAGGGAAAATTGAGATTACATGGCAAAAACTTAATAATTTGGACAAATTTGTGGATGTAAAGTTAACTGTAATCTAATAGTTGGAAGGTGGTTGCTTATTTATAAATGTTCAAGAGGTAATTGCCACTTAGTACTACGGTCTAGTGGTATTCCTCTTCACTTATAAGTGAGAGGTCTTAGGTTTGATTATCGCCAAAAACGAATTTGAACCAATAAAAAGAGGTAATTGAATTCCGACCGCAGTACCCATATGATCACATACCGAGATCATCTCTAGAGTTATAGGTCACATTTAGTCCTAAAATTAACAAAATTAACTTCTTTTTTTTTTTTTTAACAAATGATAGTATCTACACTAAAGATGAAAGGGGTAGGCTTAGCTTCATAATGGACTAGCAATAATGTGGTTCAAATTTGCCTTTGATGAGAATCGAACCTAAGACCTCTTACTTACAAATAAAGAAGAATATCACTATACTGTAGTATTAAGTGGCAATAATCTAATTAAAGGGCTCAATGGAACCGGACTAAAAGGGTAGTCACAGAGTACATTCAGCCCTCATGATTGAGATGGCCCAAGCCCACGTCTCTCTCTTTTTCTTTTCTTTTTTTTTTTAACTTTGGACAAAGAGCCCACCTCTCCCTACTACGTACTTATAACAAGGCCCAGGGCCCAATGCAGAATATACTTAGATCTGGACCTTGATATGATACTTTGATATCATTTCAGTCTTCGTTTTTGGCATAAATTCTTTGGTATTTTTAGGAATTTTTTTGGTTTCTTCCTAACCTTCAATTATAAGGATGTATAATATATATCTCTTAGATTTGCAAACAAAAGTAACAAAGAATATTTTCTGTAGATACAAAACAAAATTTTGACAAAAAAATATAAAAATATAATCTAGAAATAACTACATCTGAAATGTTACGAAATGATATACATGAATTCTTATGAGGGAATTGTTGTGAAACTTTCAAAATGTCATTGTGTATTCCTCGTGTTATATTTATTTTTAATTTATTCATAAAAAAAAATGCATGTTAGCTATTTTCAAGTGTGAATAACATCACCGTCATTATGAACTTATATTATATCTTAAACTGTAATCTTAATCTAATAATTGGAAACATTGAAGAATGAAATGTAGCTAATATTGTTTATCAGCATGTCTAATGACTACTCTTTTTATCATGCATGCATTTACACCATCTTTTTACAAAATAATTATTGCTTATGCAGGAACATACATTCCTTCCAATTCTTACTCCTCCTGAATTAAGGAATGTCACATGAGAGGAAATAAAGTTATTTTAATTTATGACTTTCCTATATTTAATAACAAGGAACTAAAGTCTTATAGTATGTTTGTTAACGTTTAGCAAAACAGTTTTTCGTTTTCTAGATGCAAAAATGGGTGAAAATGTGTTGAGTAAACTGTTTTATGAAAACATACTAAAAAAACGAGAAATTGATAAAACAATATTCAGCCTAAGTTTTGTAGAACATCATTTGATGTTTCCTCTTTTTTCAAAAACAATTTTCAAAATAATTGAAAATAAAAGATACATTATAAAACAAAGTTAGAGTTTTAATAAGAAATATAAACATGTATGTCACCACTACCGTCACCAAGGACGCCGCCAAAATGATCACCACCACATTCTCCATCGTCTCACCATCATCACCGCCACGACCACCATCTTTGACACCATAAAACCAAATGTGCCCATTGTCAAGTAACCCTTTTGGTACGTTTAGATTCCAAATGTACCAAAAGACCAAATGAACAAAAAATCACAAATGTACCACAAAACCAAATGTCTCTATCTGATAACCCTTTTGGTACATTTACATTCCAAATTTACCGAGAAATACAAAAAATCAAATCCACTATAAAACTAAATGTGTCCATATTATAGGTAACTAGATGTAGCTATATAATCAAACAAATCTTTATTATGTGTTGGGTCTTCTAAATAATAAAATCTGACAATTTTTTTTTACAAATATTCTACTATATTCACAAAAAAAAAAAAGGTAAAATTATAACAAACAATAAAAAAATGCATAGAGATGGATAATA